TACTCTTAAAATAAGATACGGTAATTAGATAATATGCACTTGAAATAATATAATAATATTTTCTTATTTTAAATTTAAATTGTTTTATTCTGCCGGCAAAGTATCTCACTTACCTCCTTGAGACCAAATATACTTATTTTAAGTATCTGGGGGCGGGACTTCCTCCATGGATGTTGGCAACATTTTTATTGGGGGATGTGACCTGGGAAAAGAATTTGAAAAGCAATTTAAAAAGAACAAAATACAACAAAATACAATTTGAAAATATACATTTTTTAAATGAATTATTTTTTAAAGAATTGGAAATAGTTCAGTATAAGAAGCTTTTATGCTTTTGTACAAAGCTTTTCCTGTGTAAGTTTTTGGTATTGGATTTACAAAAGTCTAATTTCTTGTAAGTTTTCTTGCCTGTGTCATAAAAGTTCAGACTAAGGATTTTTTTTTTTTGCTTTAATTCCTGAATATTTCAGTAGGTGAAAAAATAAATACGGTAAAAAAGAATTGGAAATAGAAAGTCTCTAAAATCTACAAAAATAAAATTTAACTTTGAAAAGCTAAAATATGAAAAACATTTGATTAAGAAATATTTGAAATGACAAAAATCTGAAAAAAACAGCAAAATTACTCTCAAAACCTGGATTGCATTTATTTTCCCCCCAAATTTCCTTTTGTGAAACTTGTTCTCTGTTTGCAACAATATGGGAACAAATTAATGATATAAGACTGCTCCAATCAAAAAATATTTATTATAAAATTTGAATAATACATTAAATACCTAAAAAAAAAAACCCTGCATAGGGCGGCAAAAACCACAGCAGGAACATTAACAGCACCGTTTTAAACGTCTTCTCACCATAAATGTCGCTTTAGCTTCTAATTCTGCTCTACATGTAGCTTTGATTTCATCCCAGACTTACAAACATGGTAAACGTTGATGTGATCCTTTGTCTGTCTCATCTCTTTCAGGTTTAGTTTCTTTTCACGTGACAAGCAGCGCGGCTCGCAGCGGGACGCCGGCGGCTTCGGCTCGTGGATGCAGAGAGACGACGTGTACACGGAACAAGCCCAGGAGGCCCTGCAGCACCTCTAGAGACGCTCCGCCCCAAATCGCTCCCCCTGCACATTAAACTGACTCATCCTGCAAGCGGAAAAAAAGCAAACTTTGCTTCAAAGTGAGACGGACTGAAAGAAAGAATGAAAAAAGATTATTTAAAGAGGCGTAGAGACGGAGCGGCTCTAAAATGCTTCGGTTGCACAGGAGCTGGTTAGCCCACATAGACGGAGAGAGAAAGGGATTTCTTTAGACTGAAGAAGAAGGTTTTCCAGATGACTGTTGGCTTTATTTTTTTATTCTATGTAGTAGAAGGTTGAAGCATGAATGAAAACCCGACTCTTTATGTAGTTTACAGTTAGGGCAGTTTTTCTTTTTTTAAATCCTTTATTTAACTTTTTGCTGTCAAGTTGGCCCCAAACATGGGATCACTGCTCAGCAGCTCCACCAATCAGATCGAAGCCTGAGGAGGAAACGTGCCGTTGAATCCTGATTGAAACCAGCAGCAGATAAATGAGCTAAAGCACCTTAGCACAGCAGGATAAACTGAAGCCCATTTCTGCAAAGAGAAGCACATGGGGACTAAGGTGAGCCGGCCTCAAAGCCACAAACTAAAATACTAAAACAGCACATTTTGGGTTTATTTACACCCTGTCGACCTTCCCATTCAGATTATGGGATTAGATTTAACACACGGAATATGTTTTACTTTATATTTAAAAAAAAAGAAAATGAAAAACTACCCACTGGACTTTGTTTCCAAGTTTAAAGACATTTCGCTTCCCATCCACACTGCAAAAATGATCTAGAAATAAGCAAAAATGTCTTTAATCAAGTGTATTTACCCTTAATCTTAGTGTGTAAATGGGATGATTTGCCAATAGAATGAGTATTTTTACTCTCAAAATAATTAGATAATATGCACAATGCAATTATTATCTCTTATTTTAAATGTAAATTATCTTGTTCCATTGGCAGTGTCTCACTTACCTCCTCAATTCAACAAAAAATGCACTTGTTTTAAGAAAAAATGACTTTTTTAGATTAAGATTTTTTTGCAAGTCAGGAAGCTTTTTCAATCAAAAATTTCAGGAATAGCGTTGAGTTCGAGGTTTTATACATTAGCCCAACAATGCCTTGTTTTTTGTTTTGAAAACATGCAAATAGAAACAGACAAAGGTATCCACCCCTTTGAATTTAACGCTATTCCTGACATTTTGAACTGAAAAAGCTTCCTGGTTGGGAAGCGAAACATCTTCAAACTTGGAAACAAAATCAAGTGGATTGTTTTTAATTTTCTTTTTTCAGAATGACTACGACCTGGATGACTGAGAATCTTCACCAGCATTTAACTTTATACTTTCATCTTTTTACCTTAATGAAATCCCAAATTTCTTCATAGTTTTGTTTTCAAATTCAATTCAGAAATACTTCATTAATGCCAAAGGGAAAATAATGAAAATTATTTATAATTATTTTTAAAATGTATTTTCCATTTATTTTAAAACTTAAATAGAAAATAAACAACACTTATTTCATGGAGTTCAAATAGTCGTCTTTTTTCATCATCTGCCTAAAAATTTCTGAATAAGTTCCATATCCTAAAGTGAACAAATTACCTTTAAATGCCATCATTTAGTTTAGAAGCAGCAGTATTACGTCTTTAAGCAAACCTTATTCTAAACTGCTTCTTTCATGCCTTTAGTGTTTTGAAATCCAGATTAGATACATCGGCTTCTAGGAGGATTTTATCACAGTAACTTGATGGACTTGAATTAAAAGGCTCCTGATTTAATCAAGTGTTTTAGCATGAATTTATTTCTTTAGGTTGAATTAGTTTCATGAAACTAAACTTGGTGATGTTTGTCTTTTTGAATCCATCGACACTTGACTTCATACAGCCTCCTTCATAGTTAAAGGGCCTCCTGATCATAAATTTGATTCCAGGCTTTAAAGGGACACTGTCTACCAACCACTGTTCTTTTTATATATATATATATTCTTTAACAGTTTATTAACGCTAAAAAGTAAAAACATTTTCACGATTTTGAAATAGTAGCTTATAAATGCATATGGGGGCGTTGAACCCAATGGGAGACGCCATGTTGTGTCACCATTTTTAATCGGAGTAGCTGAAAGGGGAAAAATGTGTCAGCCTTATGCGTTTTAGCATGTGGGAGGAAGCATTGAGAGAGCGGCAGTAATATGGTGGAGCGCTGAGCGGTTTTTAATTCAAAGGCCGGAGCGAGGATTTAGCTCCGATGCGCTCACAACGTAGATTAAAAAATGTTGGACTGTAAAATTTTTAAAATAACATTTATTTGATTTAAGTGTGATTTTTTTTATTTTTTTTGCGACAATTAATAAATAGGAAATGCGTTGCAACATGAATGGAGCGAGGTGTTAAGCCGGGCTTACACGGTGAGATATTTCTGCCCTTTTCAGGCCGACTTTCCAGTCGTGCGAGAATTTTCCGATCGGGCCGACTTTCAGCCTGATCGTGCGTCGTATAGTGTACAGCGGTTATGAGGGGCGATCAGACTCTCACGACCACCTCCTGATCAGGAATCGTGAGGTCAAGAGAAAATCAAACATTTTTGATTTTCAGTTGACCGTCGTGGACAAATCGCTGAGTGCTCAATCAAGGATACTACTTCTTCCTCAGATGTAAACACAGCAGCATGGCGGGGGTGCAGTGAGTGAAATAGAGTTGTTTCTGTAACATTGACAGACAGTAGTAGCCACGTTTGCTCAGCCATGTCTTTGTCCAAAAACGTCGTTTTTTTCTTTTTAGGGCTTTAAGCACAAAATGGCACAAATTGCCAAGGCAGCGCGTTTCTTTCTAGTGAGCTTCACATTCCTCTTCTACTTGTTTGGCTTCGGGATAGACGAGTCCGAGTAGCGCCATCTCACTGCGGAGCTGAGTCCAACGTGGGTTTTAGACGTACAGTGTGAGCAGGTAGAGAGCATCAGCGTCGTGCTGCACAGTGTTAGAACATGCATCTTGAGCTGTGAACTCACACTGTACGAGGAAACCCTGCGGTTTTGTCATACAGAGTCAGCTGTAGCTGTGTGCCACGTCTGAAAAAAAATTGCACAATGTATGCCCAGCATTACGCTCACAGCTGGGAAACAGTGCGATCATTTAACAGCCAGTTAGATAAGACAATACACATGTATCGGTCACATCGTTAAATAAAACGCCGTGTGTCCCAGGGCCCTGGCATCATTACATGAAGGACAAAGGTCAGAAATCTGAGCGAGCGTGGAGCCATTTTGCTGGAGTGGCGGAAAAGTGAAGGTGAGCGTGGAGCCGATTTTGAAGGCAGCTTCCTGTCAAAACTTTGAGCAAAAAAGCAAAGATCCTCCTTGCGCGGCACTCTGTTCACATGCTCTGGATGGGAGAGAACAGAAAACAACCGTAGATCATTCTACCTTCAACTTTTTGATGCAATGGAGGACCATCTGTACTCTATGTCCAGTGACAAACTAAAAACAGAAGTGATAACAGTGAAAACCACATCAGTGCAGCTTTTACCAGGTGGAGACATTTTATGAGGAGGCGGGGCTTCAAACAGGTATCTGGTTAGTTCATTATAAGAGTGGAGTTTAGAAACAGAGCAGTGTAGTCCAGCAAGACGGCTAGTTTGATCGTTATCCTCTAGACTGGATGAGCTCTGATGCAGCAGAAATCAGCTGCTGTTATTCTTTATTAAAGTGATACAAACAGGCGGCCATAAGCTTCTATCAGTTCTGTTTTTATGGAAATTTTCCACCTTTTTTTTAGTTGAAAAAACTTCCAGGATGGGAAGCAAAATGTCTTCCAAACACCTCAAAGTCCAGTGGATTGTTTAACTTTTTTGGAATGACTATGACCTGGAACACAGAATCTTCACCAGCAATTTCCACCTGGTTCATCATTTATTTTAGCTGATATATTAAGGGGGATAATTGCAGCTCTGACTAGAGACGGTGTTTGTTAGCCTAAACTGGATGAGCAGATATCAGCTGCTGTTATTCTTCGCAGAAGTCGTACTCACTAAAGAGTGTAGGCTTCTTTCACTGCGGTTCTTAGAGAAATGTTTCTAAATCCATTTAAGCTGATTTGACAAAAGTGGTAGAGGTTGATGTGTTATTTCTATTAGAAAGAGGAAAATGTCAGCCCATGGCTTCAATGGTTGGCCTACAGTAGGTCTGCTTGTAATTATTTTATTGTACCACTAGATGGAGGTAAATCTTACACACTATCCCTTTAAATTCAGTTGTTTTACAGGTCTGAATCCAACCCAACATTATTTAAAACATTTAGAAATTACCGTACAGCATTTTGTCCGACGACAGTGTCTAATTTCACTTGCACCACTTCTCCTGTAATACAGTAAAGCGATTCAGAGCGTCCGGCACCAGGCTTCACGTGATCCAAATGATCCAATGAGCTGCTGTCAGTCTGGGTTGCTGCTGCTGCTGCTTTTAAACACAGCAGGCAAACCTGTGGTTAGCTGGGCGATGGGAAAGAAGGAGAAGATGATGAGAAAAAGAGAGCAGAGAAAGTGTGGACTGCTGGAAGAACTGTGGTGAACTG